GTGAGAATCCACCCCGACTCAGTAGTCTGTTCTTGGTGTGGCACGTGATGTCAATGACTTCCTTCCAGGTGTCCCAGTCCTTACATGAAATTTGCTCCATGACTTTATAAGCCATCTCCTTGAAGAGCTGTCCCTGTCGCTCCACGAAACCCCTCTGTTCTGGAGTTTCCAAAGAAGAGGGTAGTAGTTCGGTGCCATCTGCCTCTGCATAGTCCTCGAATTGTTTTTGAAATTCTCTTCCAAAGTCACAGAGCAGTTTGCGAGGCGGTCCACTGTCGGTATCCCTGTCTGGCTGCCAGGGCGGTGTGATCACTGAGTGGAACTACCATTTGAAAATGTGAGGCATAGTCACAAATGTTCAAGCAGTATTTTGTCTTCTGCGAGAAACCCGTCCTCATCTGGATGGAGTCTACTCCAACAATTTCGTTGAGGCCAACTTCTTTTGGTGGAGCTCCAGCTCTGGAGGGTTTAGGCCTCTTGAATTTCTCGCACACTGAGCATTTGAGGTTGCGGGCGATCTCCAGGACTTGGGATGAGGCCTTACCGCTCTTCAAGATTCTGATGAAGCGTTCTTGTCCTGGGTGTCCAAGTCCTTCGTGGGCTCTCTTGACCAATGCTGGCAGCGACAAAGGGTGACTGCCTGGAAAGTCTTCTTTTCCCCCAGGATCTGTCTCATCGTGATCACCTTCAGGTTCTTGAGAATCGATGGCAAGACATTCAGCAACTCCCACGCCGAGGGGTACTGCTTCTGCCACCCGGGGTCGTACTGCATCTCCCACGGCAAGCGAATTCAACTGGAACTTCTTGGTGAGCTGCTCGTCAATGGTGATGATGTGGGATGCTTGAACGTGGTGAAGTTCCGAAGCGTTCAGCCCAATGCTAGCAGCGTAGGTGCCGAGGATGCACTGGATGAGAAGTTTGGGATAGCGTTGAGCCATCCGCGATCGATTGTCCGTATCTCCTGGCGCACGGCCCACTATGTGCTCATGTTGATGGTCGCCATGGCACGTGCGGTTGAGGCTCGTCGCGATCTCTAAAAGGTTGGTGAGGAAGCCTGATCGTTTTCTCATGGGATTGCCTTGGCTGCTAACCAGTCCAAATTGACATTGATCCACTCTAGCTAGGTAACTGTCCGGTTGTTGCACCAGTCGTTTTAGGCATGGTTCACTCCATGACGTTGCTCCCCATGGGTGTTCAAAGACATAGGTCAGGTTGAGCTCCCTGCATAGTTGGCAAACTTCCACACAAAACTTGAGCAGGTTGCGAGCGCGGCGTAGTTCTCTCAAATGATCGTCGAACAATTTGGAATTGGCATGTCGCGTTCGAATAGAGAAATGTTGCAACGTACTGAACATAGTGCAAGGTGGCGCTAGCAACACTAGTCCGGGTCGCTCCGACTTGATGTATTGTACCACATGTTGTTGTGATTGAGTGTTCAACAAGTCCCAACCCAACACAATGTCAAAGACCTGGCCACATCGCAATCCAAAATTGTCTGCTTGCTTATTGAAACACCCTGGATTGCAAATCTCCATCACTGTGCTCAATTGTTTTGCCTCCATGCTGACAAGCTCCGTATAGGTCTTGAGCTGCTGACTGTCATGGTGGGCGGCTTTCCGGATCCGGGAATATACTTCTGCTAGTGGGGTTCCCGTGGGTTCTGAGTGATCCATGCTAAGTAATGAGTTGAGCTCATGCCAAAGTCGTTCGGTTTGCTTCAACCTGCCCACCATGTTGTGTCTTAGCCCATTTGTCAGGCTACGCTCACTCAGCGGTGTTGGCGGCGCTCCTTGCTCCCCGCTTGGAGACGCTTGAACCTCTGCCATGCCTGGAAGTCCTCCGGCTCGATCATCTCGATTGGATCTACCGGGACTGGTGGCTTCCAGGACTGACAGGGTGCGCCGGAGGCTGTTCCCCGTTGTTGACTCTTCCATTGAAGAAATTCCTGGTAGTCGTACTCCTCCACTGGCGACGGCGTCCCGGGAGCCAACGAGGGTGTGTAGCTCCTTGATGAGGTGGATGTTGCTTTCTGATCCTTGGGTCGGTTGTGCACCTTCCCCGCATCGGTGATCTCGTCGATGAGCACCTTGCCACACTCCTTGCAGGTCTCCTTCACCCGGAACCCGTTGCTCCCCTGTTTGGTGGTCTTCTTGTGTGGGCACTGTGACTGGAACAGTAGTCGTAGTTCCTCTAAGGTCGGATCGTCCCGGAAGTCGACGGGTGGGTGTTTCAAGTTCTTGGGAAGGTCCAACCATTGGAAGAAGCGGCATTGTTGATCTCATCCTCGGGGACAACGCCAGAAGAGATCGAAGATCCAGTCCCTGTGGGATCTGCCACATGTTGGCTTCCGGTCCCGTGGGGGTTGCTGCTGTTACCTTGCTCCACTCGGTCGGTGTGTCGGTGTCGGTGGACTGGGATGCCTCCGTCATCGGGGATGGATATCGGGCTCGTGCCTCCTGGAGGCTTCGTTCCTGCAGCTGCTCCCCCAAGTGGTTGACGATCTCGTCTAGTTCCTCCACCTCTAAGAGATCGGCGGACTGGATAATCTGCCGGGACCTCATGCCCCGTGGTCCTGGGACGCGGATCTGAGAGAGAGCTTGTTGCCGAAGAGCTTGGGTGATCATGACAAAGAGTCGGAGTACCATTCGGTACCACGCCCGAATCATAGAGATGCTCTCCTCTGCTTCGGTGCGGTTCCTCTTGGGGCGGCTCTGCATGGTTACTCACCGGACAAGCTGGACGGGACAACTGAGCGTTCTCTGTTGAGCCAGCTGAATGCTCTGTTCGTAGTAGCTCATACTCAACATGTTTGCTATCCTGTGTCCCTGCCAATCGCCGAATTTGATCTTCTGAAAAATCTTGTAAAAAGACTCTCAATGCACCCGTAGGACCCAAATGACATCTTGCTGAAAAATCCAATTTCTTCGAGCTCAACAGGAGTCCAAAAGTGGGGTCTAAATGGAGTTGAATGCCACAATGTAGGAGGAATGGCAAGCTGATCAAAAAGGGTGCACTACGACATGTTTCGTCTTCAAAAATGGCAGGTTTGAGGTAGCTCCCTCGAGGACCAAGCGAACTGGGCATGATTGCCACCCTTTCCGTGCACGACGTTTGATGAACACTTCGAAACTGATGTCGTTCCCGACGAAATCGAATGAATAGTTCTGGGGGCAGGATGTTTTGATACCTTTCTAGAGCATCAAGACCAATGGCCATTCGTTGACACCCCGTATCTATTGTGGCACAACCAGCTTCAACAGAGGTCTCCATGATAAGAATCTCATGGGCGATGATCGGCGGCACGCTCATGTATACAAACTCCGCTTGCGTATCCTTGACGGTCGGGTCGGAATGGCTAGCCGCGTCAGCATCCAGGTAGAGGAACTCGATCTCGTCGGAGGTCTCCGCCGTGATGTAGTTAATGTCTTTAAGTTTCCCATCTCCCGTGCCCCGTCCCTTGTTGGGACATTCTCGACTCCAATGACCCACCTCCTGGCATCGGTGACACTTCGTTCGACGTTTCAGTTCTTCGATCGATACTTTGTAAGTTCCTGGTCGAAGAGCTCCATCACGGCCAGCTCCAAAACCTCGAGCCAAGTCGCGGTTCTTCTTGGCCTTCATCGCCCCCTGAAAGGATCTGGTAAGAGGGCGTTCCTTCAGCATAGTCAGGAGGACCTCCTTAGCCTCGCCCTCGGTGATCTCCATGGTGGTTTGTCCATCGTTTTCTCCATCGGACATCTCGGCCAAGGTGGTGAGCAACATCTCCGTATCCTCATCCTGAACCAGGTCGCCGAACATCGCCCTCTTCCTGAACCGTCTCCTCATAGATGGTGTGGACCTCACTGGTGGTCTTCTTCTTGTCATTGCCGAGGGTGGTGATGTCGAGGTCCGTCTCATGGATCCGTAGCCAGGCCTTGACATCCGAGACCTGGAGGGAGCCACGAGTGTAGTTGAGCAGCAATTTGATTTGGTCACTTGTCAGCTGAAGGGCAGTTACCAGGAGAAAGCCCTGATATTCTCCCGGAAGGTTGACACCCTTCTCTTTCACCCTGCGTTCTGCGTCATCCCAACGCATCCCCAACGCAGCATAAAGGCCTGAGCCTTCTCCCCTTTGGCTCGGCGAAGATGAAAAGTGATGCGGCTGCATGCCGCCAGCATGGATTCCCTCTCCTCTTCTCCATAATACTCCTTGGTGTCCATCAGGTTGATGAGGACTCGACCGTTGTCGGGGTCATCCAACCAACCATCATCGGCCGCAAGGAACTTCATGTGCTCCCAAGGAGGGCCGGTTAGGCCCTTAAGCAACATAGGTCCTCTGGCCGTAGGTGGGGTTCGGGTCGTCCGCAGCCAAAGCTTAGCCTTGATCTTGTAGTCGCGGAACTCCATCTTAGCCCCATCCCATTCTGGTGGTGGACCTGCTGTGGTACGTTCAGCTTCCTCTCGTGCAGCATGTCCCCAATGTAGTGGATGCAGTTCTGGTTGGGCTCCAAGGCGGACGAAATCATTTCGTACCGGAGGGGTCACTTGTGCTCCGGTGGGAGGTGTCGTCGGTCCAGCCTCGAGGCCTTGCCGCCATTGCAAGAACTGCAAGTAGTCCGCGTTCACGTTCTCCTGAGCGGGCAGTCGTGTCCACGGGTCGCGACGAACCCAAGGGTCACTCCCCTCGGAGGACATCGATGCAGCACCGGCCGAATGGCCTTCGGTGGCCGCAGGTCTAGCAGGCCGATTGGCCGTGGTCTCCCAGTTGGCATCCTCAGGAGCAAAGCCAGGAGGAGGAGTAGGATGATCCATGGCGCCTTCACGCGGTCCCTGGACGAAACCGGCTCCGCTACCACTGCATACGCAGTGGTAGCTGGAACCTGGGGTTTCTGCGGTCTCTTTTGACCATTGCGTGCTCGGCTTGAGCCAATTTTATGGCGTCAGCTTTTGACCAAGACGGTCCTCTCGAAATGCAATTGTATAACAATAAGTCCTATTATATTCCATAATTTTTATGTTTTGTCCTTTTTGCCGATGCCCAAAGCCATTAGGATTGGACACCGGCCTTTGTCTCAGCAACCTTCTGGCGTCAACATGCTGCGAAATGTCGATTTTCTCGGCATCCCCAACCGCTTGCGTTCGATCCGGCAGAGCAAGTCTACACCCCCACTGGAACCCCAAAGGAACAGTTGTCGTCCTCGTGACAGAATTGCCACATCCAGTAAGAAGCACTTGACTCCCCGCAGAGATCCACAGTCATTCTCGACCTGGAATGGATGCGCTAATCACTCATGACAGTGGAACAATGTGCAATAATAAAATATAAAACACATGCACATCAAACAACAATGGAAGCGGAGCACAGCGCCAGCGGAAAATGGCTGTGTAAAGGAGCAGTCGTGGCCCGAACCGCAAAGTGCCCGAGAGTCGACTTCGACCATTCCCCCTATCAAGACTAGCAAGAAGCTCACGGTGGAGGCCATCGCTAGGTTGGAGGCCATTACTAGTAACTAGTAGCACTTAGTAGCAAGAAGCTACGCACGGTGGTTTCCAGGCTTTGCGTGCGCACGGGGTTGAAACGATTCCCACCAATGAACTTCGGAGTACATGGCACACCACTCGGAAAGCTTGTTAGGGAGGGACAACAACCTCTTTTGCCCACATGGTGCCACGTCAACAAGTTCCCACTCCCAAGTGACAAAAGTGGCGGGAGCGTCTCGCCAAAGGTCAAATTCAAGCTTTTCCAGGCGTTGGTAGATTTCTGGATCGTAGCGGGCCAGCGTGCGCGAGCCGCCAGGCTTGAGATCTCTGGCGCGGAACCAGGTTCCATTCCTTGGGAGGCGTGCCGTTTTTTTGCTAAAGTTTAAACACAAATAACAACATGAACTAAACATGCTATTAGGTTGGAGGCCATCGCTACAAGGTTGGAGGCCATTGCTTGAAAAACAAATGAAGTCAAAATGAACACACGCAGGAAAAGGAGCACATAAAAATTGTCTAACAGTTACATACCAAAAGATCAATTGGTAAAAAGGATTGAAGATAAACAAACATATCAAAAGGAAAAAGCAAAAATGGTAACATGTCTAATGAGAAAACCGTGTAAAGAAGACAGAAGCAGAAAAATGCCCGAAGAAAGATGACAAACAAAGACACAGAAATGTCAAGTCCCAAAGACTTGAAGAACTAAAGAAGAAAGATAAGCACAACCAAACACGCTATGTTGAAACCCGAACTGAAAGGTCTAACGAAAACACAGAATGAAAAAATACATACATATAGAAAACAAATAATAACAAAGCTAATAAAGGTCTCAAGGTCTAAACAAAAACACAAAAATGAATGGATAGAATGCATCTCAAAAAACCCAAAAAAAAAGGGTTTAAGAACAAACCCTTAGCTCAAAAAAGATCTGAAGCCAGAAGCCTACGAGTTCTAGAAGTCTGGAGGTCTAGATCAAGAGATCTTGAGACCTAGAGCTCTTTTGAAATCCAGGGGTATGACGCTACTAGAGGTCTTGAGGTCCAGACATATCTAGACTTCTAGAGGTGTAGATCCATGTGTAGGTGTGGGGGCCTAGAGATGCAAAGGGCTCCGGTGATCTAGAGGTTAGAGGCTCGTTAGAGGTGTTGAGATCCAGGGGTCTTGAGATCCAGCTCTACAGGTCCAAAGGTCTAGGGTTCTAGAGGTCTGGAGGTCTAGGCGTAGAGGCCTAGACTTTAAGAGATTTTGAGTAGCATCCTTGCTCCTAGCAGTATGGCCAGGAGCCCCTAGTAGCGAACATTGCTCCTGGGTCTAGAGGTCGAGATCCAGAGAGGGGCAATTACTTGCGATATCCTTCAACCTACTAGCGGTTGCCACCAACCTAGTGACCTAGTAGCGATGGGCGTGTGATTGTTCTTTCCAGTCTAGTGGTATCATGTCTCTGCAAACGTTTCAGAAGGGCCTTGACAACGGAGAATGCAAAGTAGTAGAAAACGCCTCAAACCATCCTGGATTCCAGGCGCTGATATTCCTCTTCAAGTCTGCAAACCAGGTGTACACTCCGGAATCATTGCATTTTGGACTTAAGTAGCGGTAGTTCAGCACCATCTCTGCCCGTAAATGCACGGAGTTGTAGCCTGTGCGTGCACTGCTTGCACTCAGCTCAGGATGACTGGCCAGAAACCGGTCTGCGAGCTGCAAAATGTTGTTGCTCAAACGCAGGCGCTGCATATAGAACTCAATGCTTCCCGCCTCACCCTGCGAGTCCTCCTGTGCGGAACACACGCGATTCGAACTGTGGCAAGGTGGACTCACGGCCCCGACCCAGTTGATGATGGCCACGTTGGGGGCGTCCTGGAAGAAGGTGTCGAACCAATCTCCTAAAGTCTCGTTCCATCGAAGGAAGTTGTGATGTACGCACCAGGCCTTGCCACCTGGTGCCAACTCCCAGAAATCCAGGCCACGCATGTCTGAGATCCACATGAAGTATTCGCCACAATGCAGCGGTTTCCGGCGGCAACGGTTCCACATCCCCACGCACTCCTGAACCACACCCTTTTGATTCAAGTGGCTGAAACGTGGCCTTTGAAAAGGGTTCAACACAATGAAGACCACTGCGTCCAGTATCTTCCCTTTCTCATTGATATGTTCTCGGAACCCTCGCGCCGGCAATCCGGGGTCCAAAGTAAGGCTTCCTCGGATGCGCTTCGATCCTTTTTTGAAAGGATTGCCTCCATCCTAATAGCGATGGCCTCCAACCTAAGAGCCATGGCCTCCAACGTAGAAGCAATGGCCTCCGACCTAACTGGCAAAATCACCCTGACTCGACTTCTTGAACCCAAAGGCCAAAAGGATCACCCGTGCTTCCTAAATGCTCACCGGAATGACTTTCAGTCGACTCCAAAGCTGGTTCATTTTTCTACACACTTTCACGCCACCTTCATCCACCTTTCAAAGGTTTTGGAGACTAGTCTTCCATGGTCACGTGCACTGTTGCTCATCTTTGCACAGTTTGCGTTGCTTTTGCACTCCAGGTTTCCCAAGTCCAGGAATTGATCCAAATCTTCCACGTTGCTGCGGTCAGCCGACCGGTAGATGGTCCGGTCCGTGATCCCACGCTCAGCTATACCCGGGAGCACTGGGCGCCGCCCAGTACGGTTTGCCAAAATAAGGAATTGCATCAAACTTTTGGAAGCTCCACCAAACCTCGGCTAGGTTGAAAGCCATCGCAACTAGGTTGGAGGCCATTGCAATTAGG